TGGGTTCAAGTTTCTTTGGGAGGTTAAATCACCCCACCCGATGTAGCCAAAAAGAAAAGTTAACTTTGCCAGAGGATATTGTCACCTTGGTCATTATTTTACTGGAGTGTGATCAAAAATTAAAAAATTAGAAACATACCTCAAAAAGTTCAGAAATGGGGAAAAATATTTTTCCCCAGTGGTATTTGCAGACCTTTTTGGAGAAATACCCTGATTTTTTCTAGCTGTAAATAATGCATTACCATGTGTGTGTGTGTGTGTGTGTGTGTGTGTGTGTGATCACCATTTTTACTCACCCATTTGTGGTTGCAGGGCGGGGGCCCCAGCTCTGGCCCTGCCTTTTCGTGATTGCTAAGGTCCCCTCTTCCCTTTCCCTGAGCTCTATTACCCCGCCCCTTTAAAAATATGTTGGTTCCCGCCTCCCCTGTCACTTTCTAGGCTTTCCCCGGCTCTGACTATTAGACTGAAAAATACTTCCCAATCCTTTTTATTCTTGAGTTTAATTCCAATTGTACCTCTTGTGTCTGTGTCCCCTTGGAAAATCCGTCTTTGTCCCCCTTGTTATCCCCGCGTTTTTAATGTCGTTATCATGTCCCCTGACCCTCCTGTCCCCCAGTGTCGTCAGGGGGATTTCCCTCAACCTTTCTTCGTTGGACAAAACCCGTAGCTTGGGATAGTCTTGTTTAAAAAATTTGCACTTTCTCCCAATTTCTTGCGTGCTTGACTGGTGTGGTTCCAAAATGGTGGCATACTCCCGTATGGGCCCGACGTAAATGGTATACAGAGTCTTAAACGAAACCTTATGAGGGATCGGGAACGTATCGAGGTTTGCCCGGCGCCCCTATGCTGCAGCAGTTATTGATTGATGTGCGCCTCAGGAAAATTGTCGGGGTTTTATCTGGAGTTTACCTGGAGAGAGTTTCGGGGGGTCAACGCCCCCGCAGCCCCGGTCTGTGCCAGGCCTCCCGGTGGGTCAGCCCTGAAAACCGGCTGTTGTGCTGGTGCACGCAAAAACCCAAAGTCGAGCCAACCCGGTGTCAGGAATGACTTTAGGTGTTGTCAGGCCCGCTTGAAGACTGCCCGGGGTTGTTGGTAATCCCCCCCAGTGTGTGGGAGGCGTTAACAGTTTTTGGCCCCCGAACTTATTGTATGGTCTTTAAAAGTGATAGTGACACCCCTGTTTTCATTGGGGGGGTGGTGATCGTTGCCAAATCTTTTGCTTTTATAGTGGTGATTTTGTGTGCAAGTTCGGTTCTAGTCCCTCTGGATTTTCAGGGGTATATAATCTGTATCTCTCCCTCCTGGTTCCAGGGAAAACGGTTTAGAAACCTCAGGCTCCCCGTAATTTTAGGTGTTTTTCTCCCTTATGCACGCCGTGAAAGTTTTTAATTTTAGGTCGGGAATTTCATGCTTGAAGGTGCTGTTAGAGGCAGCAATATTCCGCCTAATAGAAAAGTGACTGAAAAGTTCTCATGGGCTTGGGCCCCCCTGTTTTTAAGGTTTCATTATCCATCCTGTCATTTTTCAGAGATGGTTTATACAATGTTATGGTCCCTTTAAGGTGAGATCCTCCGACGTAATCACTCCCCCGGTCTTTTAGTTGGTGTTTCGCTCTATTTTGTGGCCAGAATTTGTTTTGTACTTATAAAAATTTCCTATGTTTACCATATCTGGTAATTTAAATTCTCATCGTTTTAATTCATATTGTTTTCCCCAGCCCCTGAAAGTTTTTGGTTGAGTCCCCCGGAGCCTTGCAGTGTCTGCAATGGAAGACAGTTGCATGTCCCCCCAGATCTTTTTCCTTGAGTGAGGTTTGCAGTTTTGGCCCTTTTAAACAAATTTGTCTGCGGTTTCTTTGCCTTTCCCCAATATTCATGATTTTGATTTGGCAGGGTTAAAATTCAAGGAGCCAGTTGCTGGCCAGGCTTGTAGCTGTCAGGTTCTTTGAGCCCTGCCTGATCCTATCGTTTTGTTTTTTCATTAATTCGCATCATCTGCAAAAAAGGGAAAACCTTCTGGTCTCCCCTTCGTTATGTGTTTCACATATCCCAAAGAATGCAAAAGGCCCTGGGGACTGCCCTGTGGAACCCGTTTTTTCCAGGCGCCCACTCTGACACCTGTCGCGTCCCATGACGTGTGTTCCCCTGTCGGTATTTCGATCCATTGCAGGCCTTTCCTGTTATGTGTGCCTGATCCTCTAGCTTTTGAAGTAACCTCTTGTGAGGAACTGTTTTCGAAGGCCTTCTTGCGCCCAAAAAATATGCAGTCGATCCCCCCTCTCTCTCTTGTCTTACTTCTGTCACCCTTGTTAGGTAAGACACATATGCAACAGTTAGACAACTTTATTCGGAATAAAGTTGTTCTAACTGTTGCATTAGGTGTCTTACCTAACAAACCTGTTGGTATTGTATACCATTTTGATGTTCATTTGTCACCTTGTCATAAAAAATCTAGTAGGTTTGTGACACAGGATTTTCCTTCCCTGAACCGTGCTGGTTGTCAATTATAACCAGCACGGTGTGTACTGTGCGTGTCGTGGGGTGTTGCGTGGGGGGTGTGGGTGTGTGGGGTGTGTGTGTGGGTGTTGGTTTTTGTGGTGTGGGTGTGTGTGGGGGGGTGTGTGTGTGTGTGGATGTGCATCCTTGTGTGTATGCATATATTTGTACGCTCGTGTGCACATGTTCGTGCGTGCGCCCTGGTGTGTGTATGTGTGTGCGCTGCGCTAGTGTGGGTGTATGATCCACTTTAAAATTTGTATTTATAAAATCATTACAATGGTTGACAAAAGGTGTGGACGTATCAGTGGTTCATTACTTTGTAATTTTTTTCATGACTGTAACCATGTATAGGAGTGAGGCTGATTCATTACCTCTGTAACTTGCCATGATTGTGGACCAGATTCTACCTGGAGTCATTACCTTTGTAACTAGTTCAGCTATAAACTTTGGGGTACAGTCATGGACCATTCATGTACCTTTGTAATCTTTTGACTACCGTTCACAGGATGGGTATGGGGCTGCAAAAATATAATTAAACTAAAGTGTGTGTGTGTTGTCGTGTGTGTGTGTGTGACTGTGTGTGTGTGTGTGTGTGTTGTGTGTGTGTGGTGTGTGTGATGTGTGTGTGTGTGAGTCTGTGCATCTGTGTGTCTGTGTGTTGTCTGTGCTGTGTGTTGTGTGTACTCACCTATTTGTGGTGTGTGCGTGTGTTTGCGTGCGTGGGTGTGTGTGTGTGTGTGCTGAGGTGTGTGTGTGTGGTGGGTGTGTGTGTGTGTGTGTGTGTTGTGTGCTGTGTGTGTGTGTGTGCTCGTGTGTGTGTGTGTGTACTAAAAATCAATATTTGCACCAATAAACTTTTTACAGTTGTGACCGGGTGTTGGAAGGTGTGAATTGCTCATTACACTTAATTGTTCTTGATTGTAGCCATGTATAAACGTATAGTAACCATTCTTACAGAATTATTACCTTGTAACTTCGTAAGCTCCTTTCCTTTGTACCTAGTTCAGCTATCCAAACTCTTGGGGGCCCAGTCCCTGGACCCATTACGTACCTCTGTAATCTGTAATACCTTTGTAATTTGTCATGATTGTGACCAGACCTAATGGGAGTTCCTCTTACTTTGTAAATTTTGAGTTATTACCTCTGTAACTTGCTCAGCTATCAAAACTTTGGAGTCCAGTCCCTGGACCATTAAGTACCTCTGTAATCTTTTAGCACTACCACCCACAGGATGGGCGTATGGGGTGCATAATAAACATATTAAACTAACTATGCAGATTTAACACTATGCGATGCCATAGGTACTATGCGGGGGTCCACTGTATTACTTCTTTTTATTGATTGAGCAGAAAAGCAACTGCCCCAGTCAACTATTTCAACATACCCAATAGGTGATCATGATATTAGTAATTTGGCCAATTTACACAAGTTCAAACAAAAAAAAAAAAAATCAGTTGTTACCCCGAGTTTTCGAACTTTCTTCGTTCCAGAAGGTTCGAGTGCCCATTATCAACGAATTATCTGCCCTTAGGGAATATAATGTAAATTAGATTAGCCTTTTCAGACCCCAAAAAATACATTACAAAAGCACTTACATATATACACTTACATAACTGGTCGGAGTTGGGAGCAGTTGAAACTCGGGGGGTAACACTCTATTCCAATGTCAAACAGGTCCAGAACTTAAACTTTGCAGGTATTCCTCGGCACTAAAATAAATTTCTCTTATTTATTAGTTTACAAGTCTAGGCTTTACTGTATGAATTCCAATTTTGATTTTTTATTCACCATTAAAGAATTTTTTATTTTACACCAAAAAGAGACGATTTACTGTTATGCAATACTGTAATAATTGTATAAACTAATATCAGCACATTCGTGAATGCACATTGACCACCAGCTGACATGTATTGGATGCGTCACATATTTGTTTTACTCTTGAACTCGCAAAAATTTCGAACATTTCTGCTACTTTGAGCACAGGTTTAAGCATTTTCTGTACTAAAACCAATCAAAAATCATCTCTACTTCCTGTAGTATATATTCCATTCTATCAAATGAGATCAAGAAACTTTGAATACAACAGTTAAAAAACATACAAAATACACCACAAAGTCGCTGTTTTATCCCCAAAAGCATGTTGTCCCAGTTTTTTCTCCATTATGCACTGCATGATGCAGGATTTGTTTTATAGGTGCACACTGTGACTACATAGATGCATTCTTTCATATTAGGCCCAATTTATTTTTCAACTTATCCAAGTGAGCTGAGCTCATGGCATAGAACTATGGCTTGAACTCAGGCTTCAAAGCCTCATTAACCCTCAAAGGGTTAATACTGATACATCAATGTTCTTACTGACCTCACACATCAATGTTCTTACTAACCTCACACATTAATACTGATACATCAGTGTTCTACTGACCTAACACATTAATACTATACATCAATGTTCTTATGACATCAAACATCAATACAACAACGTCACTTATTGATACAAACTGAACAGACTGTGTTGTTGTTGTTGTGGCCAGTGTTACCAACCCTGCTGCTGTAGCCATTGTTGCCAATCATGCTGCTGTAGCCAGTGTTGCCAACCCTTTTGCTGTATCCAGTATTGCCAACCCTTCTGCTGTAGCTAGTGTTGCCAACCCTGCTGCTGTAAGATCAAATTTGTTAGGATTTTTTTACCCGGGGCAGAGAGGGATACCTAACCATGATAACCTAGGGTAAGGAGGGATTCCTAACCTTAGGTAGAAAGGGATACCTAACCTGGGGTAGGTAGGAATACCTAAGCAAGATAACCTAGAGTAGGGAAGGATGCCAAGCCAGGATAACCTAGGGTAGGGAGGAATACCTAACCAGGATAACTTAGGGTAGGGAGAATAGCTACCAAAGATTACCCATGATAGGGAGGGTGAGTCACCCAGAATAACCCGGGGTAGAGAAAGTTAACCACACAGAATAACCCGGGGTAAGGAGGGTGGGCCTACTCGGTTAAACCGGACGGTAGGATAGTAAGCCACCAGGATAACCGGTGGTTGGGAGGGTTAACCACCCAGGAAAACCCAAGGAAGTCGGCGAGTCATCGAGGACTGTGTTTCCATTGTGGTCCTTCAGTCTTGTCACACCCCAGGATGCCACCCACACCAGTCCACTAACAGCCTAACACCTAGGTACATCTTACTGCTATAGAACAGAAAGCATGTTGTAAGGTGACTAACACCAGGCACCTGCTTCTATGGGAACTAAACAAGCAGGTGTAGGTGACTAGAACCCAGGTACCTTACTTACTGCTAGGTTTAACTGGGACAATAGTTATAGGTGACTAGCACCAGGTGAATATTTCATGTTAGATTAGCAGATACAGCCAGGTGTAAGGAGGGATTACACCCAGGTACGTACTGCTGGATGAACAGGGACAGCATGTGCAAGGTGAACTAACAACTCAGGTACCTATATTTACTGCTAAGTTAGTGACAGCAGGTTGTAATGGAAGCATTCTCCAAACGTTTCTACCCATGCGAGGATTGAACACGGACACTCAGTGTGTGAGGATATGTACCAACTCGTTCTGTAGCGGTGTTACCAACCCTGTTGCCTGTTAGCCAGAAGTTACCAACCTTGACTGCAGTAGCCACGCTACCAAAACCCTTCTGCTGTAGCCAGTGCTACCAAAACCCCTGCTAGTGTACGGCAAGTATTGTTAACCTGCTGCAGTTGCAAGTGCTACCAACCCTGTGTTTTCAACTACTGTTTACCAACCTTGCCTGATCAGCCAGTTTTACCAACCCTGCTGTTATACACAGATGCCAACCTGGCTGCTGTACCAAGTGCTACCAACCCTACTGCAGTAGTGTTGTCAACCCTACTACTGTACCCAGTGTTGCCACCCTGCTGCTGTACCAAGTGCTGCCAACCTTGTTGTTGTTCCCAGTGTTGCCAACCCTGCTGCTGTAGCTGGAGCTACCAACCTATGAACAACAAAAACAATAAATTTTACTTCTTTGCATATGTTACAATGTGTGAATGCATATAAAGCGCATTGAGGGGTAAAAAGTAAGCCATTAGCATGCTGGAGCATTTCGGACAGTAGCCAGTTCTCCCATCCCTGCTGCTGTGCCCAGTGTTGCCAACTTTGTAACCAATGTTGCCAACTTTAATTCTGTAGCCAGTGTTGTTAACTCTGCTGCTGTAGCCAGCATTGCCAACTCTGCTGCAGTAGCCCATGTGCCTGGAGTTTACCTGGAGAGAGTTCCGGGGGTCAACGCCCCCGCGGCCCGGTCTGTGACCAGGCCTCCTGGTGGATCAGAGCCTGATCAACCAGGCTGTTGCTGCTGGCTGCACGCAAACCAACATACGAGCCACAGCCCGGCTGATCAGGAACTGACTTTAGGTGCTTGTCCAGTGCCAGCTTGAAGACTGCCAGGGGTCTGTTGGTAATCCCCCTTATGTGTGCTGGGAGGCTGTTTGAAACAGGTCTTCGGGCCCCTGCATTATTGTATGGTCTCTTAACGTGTAGTGACACCCCTGATTTTCATTGGGGGATGGTGATCGTCTGACAAGTCTTTTGCTTTCGTTGTGAGTGATTTTCGTGTTTGCAAGTTCGGTACTAGTCCCTCTGGGATTTTCCAGGTGTATATAATAATGTATCTCTCCCTCTGCGTTTCCAGGGAATACCAAGATTTAAGAAACCTCAAGCGCTCCCAGTAATCTGAGGTGTTTTTATCTCCGTTATGCGCGCCGTTGAAAGTTCTCGTACATTTCTAGGTCGGCAATTTCAACCTGCCTGAAAAAGGTGCTGTTAGTGTGCAGCAATATTCCTAGCCTAGATAGAAAAAGTGACCTGAGAGTTGCAGCTGGGCTTGGCAATCCTCACCCAGAGCTGCAAAACACTTACTGCAGTAGCAGTATCCAGTGCTACCAACCCTGCTGTTGTAGCTAATGCTGCCAACTCTGCTACACAGTGCTACCAACTCAATTGCTGATCTAGTGGCCACAAGTACATATTTACCTTAATTTTTATGCACTAGCATCCCGAAGTTCTACTTACTTTGTGACTATATTTTCTAGAGTTTTATCCCATGGAGAGATACTGACTGATCAAGGTGCAGAATTCACTTCTGACCTCATCTATTATGAATCATTATGTGAGTAAATTACCTGCATGAGGTTTACAGGGTGTGGAAAATTTTATAGGGGTGATTACCTTTATGTACCTCAACATTATATACATACAATTAATCTCATTGAGGAGACAACCCTATAACAACCAAACAAAACATAAAACGACACAGTTTACCGTAGTCCCCCGTGTGATATGTGAGAAAACTTCACCACCCCTGGTCACTGGAGGTGGGCCTTCGACCTCACAATCTTATCCATATCTATCCGAGACCAGTATAGATTGGATAGCACCCACAAGTACGGCACTACTAATTAATTGTGGACTGTATAGATTATATTAGTGTAACTGAATGAAGGGAGGGGGGTAGGTTACACATGGATATATCCCTCAAAGAAAACATTTGTATATAATCCCATCCACTTACCAGATATTCTCTGGGGGTCACTTGATGTAAGCTGGATCCACCCATACCCATCCCAATTAAAACATACTAAACTGCAGTATCACGTCTGCTATAACTAGAAGGGTTACTTAACTGTGGGTGATTGATGACTCCTTATTTCCTCCAATTACCATCTCATTTCGATGTCCTGCTACACCGACACACGGGTTCTTATTCCAGCAGGACGAGGTATCCGATTGGTTTGTCCGGTTTTTGAAGTCGTGACTCAATAAACTTCACTTCCTCATGACGGGATCCAACATGGTCTAGCGTGTTCACTCGGAGCAAGGCGAGTTTAAATTGAATTTTGTGCAGAAGATTTTAAAAGCTCGCGTGAGTGTGAGTTTTCATCAGAGGCTGCCTCTGGTGTTATTACTGCAACTATATATTTGTGTATTCCTCCATTTTAGGTGCCTTAAGTTGAAATCCCCCAGGAGCAAGATGTGTGCAGGGAGCGGAAGATTTTCCAGGACAGTGGGTCAATTTTTAACAGCTGTTCCTGGAATTGCTGGGATGTTGCATCGGAAGGCTTGAGACTACCACAATGACTCTAGGTTTTGGTTCTCGACCTTTACTGCTAAACTTTCCACTGCAGCCACTTCCTGTCTGTTCAACTATTGGATCACTACGACAAGGTCTCAAATGACACTGAAGACAAAAGAATGCAGATTGATAATTATATACAGACTTTGCAAAAGCCTTCGACAACAAGATCCGTGACAATGGCGTATAGCGCCACAAAATGCGGTGCTAAAGGATAACAGGAAAAGTCAGTCGATGGATCTCTATAAATTTACTCCTAACAGAAACACAGAGGAGTAGTTCGTCAACCAGAGTAAAGTCCGAGGCAGCTATGGTGAAAAGCTCTGTTCACAAGGCACAGTACTAGCTCCCATCTTGTTCTCATCCTCATATCGATAGACAAGGATGTCAGCCACAGCACGTGTCCTTCCTTTGCGATGACCACCCGAATCTGCATGACAGTGTTCTTCCATTTGCAGACACTGCAGGCTCAGGCAGACATCAACCAAATCATTTCAGTGCGGCTGCGGAAAACCATATGAAGTTCAAAACGACGAGAAATTTCAATACTCAGGATATGGTAAACATGAAGAATTTTATTCTTCATCAGAGTACAAAACAAAATTCTGGCCACAAAATAGAGCGAAAAACACCAACGTCAACGACCTGGAGTGAGTGAGTGATTGATGTCGGAGGGATCTCACCTTCCAGGACCATAAAAATTGTATCAATAGCATCTGCTAAAAAAATGACAGGAATGGATAAATGGAACCTTCAAAAAACTTGGGAGGCCAAGCCTGATGACAACTCTTCAGGTCACTTGTTCTATTCTAGGGCTGGAATATGCTCTCACTATAACAGCACTTTCAAGGCAGGTGAATTTGCCCGACCTAGAAAATGTCAGTGAAACTTTCCGGCGCGCCATAACGGAGATAAAAACACCTCAATTACTGTGAGCACTTGAGTTTCTAAACCTGTATTCCCTGGAATGCAGGAGGGAGAGATACATGATTATATACACTGCGAAAATCCTAGAGGGACTAGTACCGATCTTGCACACGAAAATAACTCATACGAAAGCAAAGACTTGGCCAGACGATATAGTGCACATCCCCCCCAATGAAAAGCAGGGGTTGTCCACTAGCCACGTTAAGAGACCATACATAATGTCAGGGGCCGAGATGTTCAAATGCTCCCAGCACACATAAGGGGGTTACCAACAGACACCTTGCAGTCTTCAAGCTGGCACTGGACAAGCACCTAAAGTCAGTTCTGATCAGCCGGGCTGTGGCTGTACGTTGGTTTGCGTGCAGCCAGCAGCAAAACAGCCTGGTTGTATCAGGGATGATCCACAGGCAGGGCCTGGTCACAAGACCGGGCGCGGGGGCGTTTTGACCCCCGAAAACTCTCTCCAGGTAAAACTCCAGGAAACATCATTGAGCAGTAGCGTTATCTGTGCA